TTTATGTTATTATTAGGAACTTTAATAATTGCGGTAAATTTAATAACTACTACAAACAACCCAAAACGCATTTTTGTTCACCACGAGTTGTCCGTTTATCTTTTGAAGTTACATCCGAGCTATTCGCGCCATCCGTTATTCCATGAATTTAATAAAAGGAGCTAGAACTAAAATCAACTGCGCGTCTAAAGGCACAAAAATCACGGACGTGAACGCCTATTCAAAAACTTGGCAAACAGCAAGATCGAATCTCAAAGTTATATCAATTTGATTTTTGTTTACGAATTATTTCTACCTCAAATGCACTTTAAGGAAAGGAAAACAGATTCCAGAATTTTTCAATAACAGATGGCAAATCGACAAGCTTCACCAGTCAGTATCTCCACAACAACATGAAGTTCTTGGTTGTAGAGCTTGGAGGGGAGAAGACCCCTACCATTGTCAGTCTCAATGTATCGAAAGCTAGAAGATAGGAGAGTAAAAACCTAAAGCCTAAGAGGCGCTAAGGCGTCTTCCCAACAAGGCCAAAAGTGGGTGAAGAACTTAATTTTATTAATTTAAGCCCAAATGATTAAAGCTGGAATACAAATAGGGAGCAATACATCTATTTACAGATCCTCCTTACATTCCTTCTATTCCTCCTTCGCCACCTCCTCCTCCTTCGTTGACGCTTCAAGTTCCAAGTCTTCCGGTTTGATAGACTGCGGAAGGAGAAGATTCGCCTGTTCCCCGATTCGCCTAAAAGCATTGACAAACAATTGAAAGTTCATTGAAGGAAGGCAGAATGTTGAAATGAGAAAAGTGAGACTTACCAAGGCGTCTTCCCCTTGATCCAACCCAAATTATCGGCAATGAGGTGGAGGGATTGACAGGAGGGACAACGGATTATCACAAGACCTTTCAAATAAGCCAACTTGGAGAAGAACTTCTTAGTTCGATTTTTGCACACCTATAAAGAAAAGAGCCCAATAGTAATAATATCAATAATAATTGCGCTAACAAGACAAGGAGGGTTTTCATAACTTGTCCCTTGTATGAAAAAGAGCATTCTATAGCTCCTTCTAGAAGAAATTCCGGATTCACAGACATGCGCACATGTGTTCCCCAAATGTTCACAATGGTCAAGAATAATCTCTGAAAAGTAATGATCTCGATCACACAATTACGCTAAATACTCTAGTGAGCACAGGCAGTTCTTCTACAATTAGTGAAGGAGTAACTCCGATGAGTGTAGAACACTATCTAAAATGGCGAAAGAAATCTATTTCACGCGAGGATATTCTGAAAAGTGCGAATGTGCGTGTAAGGACCTCCCCCCCACCTCCAATGTATACTTTTAGTAAACAAAATAAAGCATATTTACAATTGCAATCACAACTCCCCAGTTGATAGGACTCAAAGTTGAGGAACTACAATGTTATTGTCAAATAACACAGGCTATTCAAATCCTATTGGCGAATAAATTTAAAAACTAACGTCACCACGATTTGCTATTAAACCAACCATTACGTATGACCACTGCTATCACATAGAACGCAGATACCGACTGGTAAAATTTCAAGTGAATTGCGTTAGGATCAAATTTTAGAAAAAGTTGTATTAACATGAACTCCTACTTGAAAGTGCAACTTTAGCCGCTGATTGGTACTCGAAAGTCATTTCAGCTGTGAGAAGAAAGCGACATCTGTTCACACGTTAACTTGATCAAAACAGTCACCTTAGCAAGATGTGTCCCTGGCTGAGGGGATTTGTGGTCTTGGGTGCAATGTTGTCACGTGTCATTATGAACTATAAACGGAGACATTTTAGTAGCACATACACATTTTGAAAGAAAACACGATTTTCAAGGCAGTATATAAGGTCTTACGAGAGCACAATGTTCGACCCACTTTTATGCGATCGGATCCTCTTTAGATGGGACAAATCTGCCAACAAACAAAATTTTCTGAGCACTGTAATAAGACCAAACATTTGCCAAAATGAGGATGTAAGATCCAACTAATCTGTACCAGAAAGTAATGCATGATTGAGAGAAACAAGTTATATCCAAGTAATTTTCAATTTTCAGGTAACTAGTACAATATTTTATTCAAAACCCTCTGAATTCCTAGAGTTGGGAGAAATAAGATTAAACACTTCAACAGACTCATGCCGTGCCGACCTAGATCCAAGCAGTCAGTTCACTCGTAAACAAGATAATAAAAGAAATCTTATGAATGGGAGAAATCTCTGGATGAGACTCGAAGTCACGCGCAAAAGCGATCTGAATTTTTAGTGATTTTCAGTTTGATGGCAACGTGAGTATTCACTGAGTTTTGACATTCATGTGCAGTCAGTCATGCAGTCACATGAAGATTATTAATGAAGGATATGCGGTATGATTAATAGAGTATGGCCGTGATGGAAGAGGTCCTGCTGTGCGGGGTCACGTGATAACCGGGGCCCATAACCAAACTAGCACCATCCCAGAACATTTAAAAGCCCTTACACATGGGAGAGTATAAGCCCGATAAATCCCAAGTGCCAATTCTAATTCACTCCCTCAACAATCACACACACACACACACACACACACACACACATTCTCTTTCTCGACGCAACCAAGGCCATTTCAAACAAAGCACGACCAAAAAGTTGCGCCCCCCCCCCCAAAGATAATGGGAAACAGCTTACATTGCAAGTAAAAGTGATGCACATATTCTTGTCGGATTTCTTGATGTCAATGGTCCCAAGTTGTTGGGCATGATCAGCAGGCTGATTGATTGGTTCTGCATTAGGTGATTCCAAAACGAGATCACATCCAGGTTCAGGCTTCAATGCTGGAGGCAGAGAAGATTTGGTGGTGGCAGAGAAGAGGAGTCTAGGGGTAAGAGTGCATCGGTGGTGCGCGAAGGAGGGAAACACAAACCTATGAACAGCTCCCCCTACCAGAGGAGCAAAACGCTTTAACGCACTGACCTAAGAAAACATAAGAGCATTTGTGGTTTTGGCAATCTAAGCAACAAAATTCAAGTATACAAATACAAAGGACTTAAGTATAAGAACCGTTTTTCTGTATTTGATATTGCAGAAAAAAGTAGGCAAGTAAAGGTTGCCTCAACGGAAGCAAAGTCAGAGGGTGCGGGTACATAAGGGGGGGAGGGNGGGGGGGGGGGGGGGGGGGGGGGAACGGAGTGACCAAAAATACACACACACACATCTCATTTTCCACAATAAAGTCATCACCTGCCTACCACTAAGAAGAGAAGATATCCGAATTGCACATGGGACAGATTGGTCTTCGTCGAATCCACTGAATTAGACACTTTGTATGGAAAAGGTGACCACAGAGAGTTTTCTTCGTGTCCGATGGTGCCATTGACGAATAACAGATGGCGCAATGGTCGGCATATGCCTCCAATTCCTCCTGTGTCGGAGAGGGAATTTTCGACATGGAGACAGACAAGTGGTAGCGCGTCTTAATCCACGCAATTCCCCTACAAGTGGCCGGATAGAGCACAGAGAAGACATGCACAACGAGAATAAGAACGCGACAAATCCCGAACGATTCATAAAAGATGAGCCAGAGAATAACCAGCACAGAGAGGAGAGAGATGAGGTAGTTTGCAAAAATGTTGAAGAGTCTAGAAAATGCAAGAAGTTTGGCAAACCCGGTCCAAGCGGGCCATCTGTGATGTGCTTGATGAAGAAGGTATTCAAAGAGAGTGCAAGTCACATCAAGAAGGAGCTGACCACCGCATAGGTAGGTCCGAAGACGCTGTGCGTACCCAGTGTAAGCAGAAATAGTTCCAGCTCTTTCAACGCCGGTTAAAGACGGCTTTCCATCGAGAAGCTGATAGCCTCTACCTGTATAGGGTAAGTAGGACAACCAAACTGGGAAGTAGACGAATACACAACCAGAAAGAAGGATCATCATGCCACAGAAGATAAGTGGGGCAATGTGCTCGATCCAGGGCGACTGAGTTCCAGGGAGGCCAAGCCTTAATAGGATAGCCTTAACTAGTGTTTCTACTGGGTAAACACAGGTAAAACCCATAACTATGAGTAGATGAGAGAAGCAAAAAATCCTTTGATGAGAAGAGAGGTTGGGTAGATCGTATTGCACTGCAAGGAAGACAAAGAGAATGACACAACTCCAAGTCGTGTTATTTAAGAGCTCAACAGCTGTGACTTCAATATGCTCATTATTGATTAACTGCTCTTCGATAGGAATCCAGGGATTCGCGGCAACAGGTTCGAGTTCGGCTACTCGAATTAACTGGGCAATATTTGCTCCGAATGGATCGACAGTAAAAGCAAGAAAGTTAACAACTACTCCTGAGAGAAGACCAACAAGCACAGCGGCTCCGTAAATAGAAGTCCATGTTTCCGCCCCGATAGCCAGTGATCCAGTGAGAAATCGATAAAACACACGCTCATAGAGTGGGATGGAATTGATAAAGTTCGCCTCATTAGCATAGATTGATAGGAAAGTAAAATTGAGAGAGTGCTTGACGGGAACCCCAGATTCATCTGTGGTACGAGAAAGGAGTTCAATAACCGTGGCATCGATTGGCCAAAATATAGAACCGAAATACACTACAAGGCTTAATTTAGTAAGCCAGAATGTGAGAAAAACTATAGGCACTCGAATGCGATTCCAATTGGCAGAGAGAAATGCCGTGGGATCGGCGGAAATTTGGGCAAGCTGACCTTTAAAAGCACCAAAAACAAAGTTGTAGACATTTCCCCGACAAAAGCCTGCATGAATAACCAGCATGAGCACAACCGTGACGAATTCTGGGAAATAAGTGATGGTTTGCTCAGTAAGAACTTTAGAAATAGACTGCGTGTAGAGACAAGCAGAGTAATTCAATATGACAGAATGTTTTAAATGTTTGTTCCGACCTACGAGAGCATAAAAGTAACTACAAACGGCTGGAGATGAAACACCTGATCTATAAAGCTCCATTTTAAACATCTCCTGAGTTTTCACACAAGAGAAATAATAGAAAAGTGATGGAATGCCCAGAAAAAGGCAAATTTGAGCAAATCGTAGAAATTGATCAAAACGGCTTGGCGACGGAAGTCGAAGGGTCCTTGGAATCAGATTGCAACAAACAAAAATCGTTAACGCAATAAGTACAGGTATAGGCCAAAACTTGACGGAGAAAGCATAACCACTCCATTGGTGATAGTCATAGGCAAGCTCATTAAAACGTCGTACGAGACAGAATACCGTGGTAATAACGAGAAGAAACGGTAAATAGAGGAGACTGATTATCCGGAGGAACTTTTTCGTGACAAGGAAAGCTATGACGCAGTATGAGAAAGCTGAAATAAAAGAAAGCCTCTTGTCAACAACACTAAAAGAAAGAACGTTGAATTTGCAGGTGCAGAGATTTTACTTCAAAAGTTAAAAAAGAATAAAATTGTAACAAGCCTTAACATACGTCGAAGCTTATTAAAAGAAGCTGAACTCACAGAAGAAGATTGCAATAGAAGTAAGAAAATCTGCCATTCCACTAGTGTATACTGTATCCTTATATTCCAACCACGAAACAATTCTTTCTTTAAAAGTAAATATCCAATTAGTTCTGTTTGCAAGTACATTATCAATAAAAAGGATTAGTAGTGCCCTAAAGGCGATATCTGCACACACTGCAAGCATTTTTCCGCCAAAACCTCAGCGACAGCTATTTAAGCGATCCGCATTAATACTGACCGATAAGAAGCATGAACTTCACAATATTCCTTTCAAGAGATAGAGAGTGTACTTGATAAGTGATTTTTCCGCAATATTATTGGTTTAATTAAGATTTGAGTGTTATTTCAAGGTAATTTTTTTAATTCATGACAATCTTATAAGTACCATCGGGTTTCGTAGCTATTACGCATGGCGCATGTTTTCGATTAAACCCTGTATAATAACCGCTTCTTACTCCAAATGGATTTAATCTTTTTGATGTTTTTTATAGTGCTTGCTATCTGTTGAAGTAAATTCAATGTGATCAGAAAATCAATTTTTAATTACATGCGGCTGTCACCATCTGTCTGCGTAAGTAGCTGAGAATTCTGACTAAAATAATAATTTTTAAGCAGGAACCTCCTATTAAAATGTTGGGAAATTCAGAAGGGTGTTTTTGCGCTTCTCGATTAATAAATATATGTTTACTTGCGAAGTGGTTGATCTAATAAATAATTCCCCCCATACACATTTAGTATGTTTGTTTAATTCCAATCTCTGAGATAAAATAATTGTATATAATATTTTGAAGAAAACGATAATTCTAAATTTCTTATGTGCTATTTCCTAAAGCCATTTTACCATAACCATCATTTTAAATCAGATGCATAAATAATTCTTATACCTTTTTGAATAAATTAGATAATATTAGATATATCTAAAATAATTAGAACTTATTAGTTCACTCTAAGCGCAATGCCAATTGGTGTTTGCATTTACGCGGTCGTTCTAGTTATAAAGTGTAGTTCTCTATCATGGCAACGACAGTGCCCGATCCAAGAATTCGCCAGCTTAAAATTAAATCTAACGTCGTAAAGAGGTACTTTTTGTTTGAATCACATATAATCGATGCAGAATAGCAAAGGACAAAGAGAAATATGAGGAAGAATACACCACGCTTCAGCAAAAACACGATGCAATGAAGGCTTCCGGCGCCGAGGATATTGCTATTAAAAAATCAGTATGTTACAGTTTCTTTTTGATTGCTTTTTGTCCTTAGAACGAACTTCTTGAAGAGACGAAGATGATGATTTCTGATTGTTGTAGTCGTTTGACTAAGGCCTACGATGATTTGGAGACCTGCTTTAGTGATTGTTCTGATTTAAGCGATCATGAGGAGTACACATTCGCCAAAACCATTCTCGATGGAAAATCTCTCTGCACACACTAGCCCAAGTTTTTATTCAAGAATTATTATACAAATCTCTTGTAATGTACGATTGGCCGGAACTCTTAAGTTTTGTACCCCATCGCAAATTCAGTCAAATAAATACGCTATTGACTTTCACCGCTCTCTCAATCCCCATTATTACAAGAAGACTGCTTGCATTTGTACAAAACTTTTATTTTGAAGTAGATTTTTCTTGATGCTCGTCAGAGCCCATATTCCAACGTGAGATTTCAAAGATCACTTCAATCAGAATGAGTAGAATGATCATCCACTCAAGACGGGAGGAATGTCGGGCTTCGAGGTGATTTGTTAGAATTTCTGTCAGTTCGCAGCAGGTGTTCAGTTTCGAGTTGAGAATCTAAACAGATTTTGCAATATAAATACTCCAACTTACATTAGTTCTACTTTGAACACTTAAGGCTGTTTTGAGGTTTTGGAACAGTTTCTCAACCTCTGGTCTATCCCAATAGAAATCTGGTGTTTCACTGATTGTCGTACTGATATTCAGCAAATGCCTAGATTCGTGGAGATTAGGCTAAATGCTAAAGCATTTCTTACCTTAGGGTGAAGAGCTCTCCTGTCTTTCGAAAGACGGCCGACATTGGGAAGAAAACTCCCAGCCCTGTTTGCATCTTCTATTCTGCGAATTAGGAAAACACAATGAGACTTACATCAATCCATGGCTGCATCTGAACTGCCACGGCGTCAAAACTGGATTCCAGTAGAGACAACTTCACTAATGGGGGGAAATTCGACTTTATCAGAAAATAGAATCTTCGTTATGAATCTTAGTTTAATTTCATCTAACAATCCCAAAATATCCACAAAAAATTAGCAGTAGAGGAGAAGACGAACTAATAGAAATAAAACTTCATGACGATACCCCAATATAATTACGGCATTTTTGAGAGTATTTTATTAAACCGAAGAAACTATCTGTGTTTATTAGACGTTATTTTCAACATTAAAGGCGAAGTAATTGGCAATTAATAAGCTCTATTTATCGTCGTCTTGATATAGGTGTCAGAGACTGGCAGTAATGATAACGCATTCAGTCTGAACGAAGAGACCCCTTCAGAGGACTCAAGCTTCCAATCGAACATGATAATGACTTGAGACTTCGTGTAAGCAGCTTTCACACACGCGCTAGCAGAGGAGCAGTTAAGAAGTCACCAAGGCTACCCCATTAAGGACCCAAACACCCCCCAGTGTGAAGCGAAGCTGCTATAGGAGATAATGAGAGGGCTAAAATGGTGCATCCTACTCGCGATTCACGTGTCACCATTGCATCTGACACCAACCCCACTGGTCAGGTGCACAAAATGGCTGCACCAATGCCTCAAGCCTTGTTTGATTTGTCAACGGTGCGGAGGTGGAAATTTACCCCCCCCCCTCCCCTCTCCCGGAATGTTCTTTCAAGCAACAAGAGTATAAACACTGTCGAAGGGTTAAAGAAAAGATTTGACATTCATATTAACACCATTATCAATAATTTAAAATTGTATATGAATGGGAAAAATTGTCAAAAATTATGGGCCATTGGTGGAGATAACACGAAGAATATAAAAAGTTTTGCTTACTTCCGCGTATGTAGGGTAAGTTCGGAGTTCGTGAGCTAAGTTCCTGCTGATTCAAATTCAACCATCTGTGATGACATGATGGGTATTCTAGGCTAATTGAAGGCCACTCAAACAAAAATAAGACATGGAAAGGATGAAAGAAAAGCAGAGACTCCTGACCTTGAAACGCACGTATAAGGAAGTTAGAATGTCATTTAATCTTCTTGAACAATATGTCAGAATAGAAATGCGACTTTGTGCAGAAAGAACATAGGTGGGGAGAGAAAAAAAATGCAAATTGGGAGACCTCCTTCAAATCCTCCGTAAATAGCCTGCGATTTCTGAAAAACTTTCGAGAGCCTTCAGTTGGACCATTCTCCTTGGGAGAAGTGGATGCGATGGGCAAATGCTGAGGATTGCTCAAAAGAATTAGAGCTTTCTCTTAAATTCGTCAAATTGTAAAACAAAAACAAGTTTACAAAATTTGTGATTCAAACTCCAATTTCTTGATAGAGAAGCCACTGAAATTTTTGTCTTACGACCACAATCACGCGACGAAGATGGTAGTTTGCACCTCATTCATGGGGGTTGAGCCTTTTCTCATTCAACAAACAACGGAAATATTAAGAGATTCGCCATCTGTTGAGTTTAAGTTGTATACAGGTTACTCCTCATCAATTAAAAGCTTGCACTTCATTACTGACTAAACCTCCTGTAGTCTTTAAACCAAGTATAAATAACATATATGCCGGAAATCTTCTAATTTCTCAATCCCAGATTGCAACTATTCTAGCCATAATGCTGAGCAAACGATAGTTAATACAATGCGTAGTCATGTGTGTGTGTGTGTGTGTGTGTCGGAGATGAATTAAATAGCTGCGCGCATTGATGAGACTCACCGGAAGCAGCCAGAGCATCAGAGAAGGCGATTTTCTCCAAAACCAGACGCTGAACTTCCTTCTCATAATCCTCCTTCAACTCCTTCGAGTCAGACTTGGCTGGAACTGCACGAAATCGAATATCCTCAATATCGAGTACTGTTGGTCCACTGAAACGAATCAATATCGATTTTACACCAATTATTATGCATCATTTTGATATGCGACAACAATAAGCAGGATTAAAAGCCGAGGTGTTTAGGAGAAAGAGAAGAATCAATTTGTCAATCAAGATTTGAACTTTCTTCGCTTATTTCCCTGACTGGAATTCCCCTACTCTATGGTATGCGCATGCGGTGCTTATATCAAGATTCAAAATTTTCGTAGAGCACCGCATAATAATAAATTGTTGTCTTATGATTAGCCGAAGAGGTGAACACTGCCAATCTCTCAATTCAATTTATTATTCAGTTACTTTGAAGCACTATGAAGGCTCCACGAATGAATTCCACGACTTAGGCATTGACCGGAAGGTTGAACAGCGTGGTTAGTTTGAGAGACTTAGTAGAGAGAGCACATTAGTAAATTATTTGCCTCAAACTCTGCATTCCAGATTTAAATTAGAGCAAAAGCCCGAGAAACACTTCAACAACATTTTCCCGAAAATGTTGTTGATTATCAAATCTGAAGCCAAGTCCGAAGTAGAGCAGAGCTTAAGAACAAAAAAAAAACATAATTACATTTGGAAATACTGCTGCTTACCTGGTGAAAGAGTAGACTAGCTCCTCGAATTCCATCAATTCCAGCGCCAAAGGTCGGTTGCATTCGCTGCGAAGTTTGTTTATGATTTCTTCAGACTAAACAAAGTGGATAGTCAGTTTAATGAAGGATGCGACTTCGACATGTTGCTCATAAAACACAATTGAATAGACTCCTTACTTCAGAGTCTGAGACGTTCCAAAAAACAACAACACCAGTTCTAAAAAAGCGGAAAAGAAGCACAATGAATGTCTCTGGCTGGAACAACCTGTAGTACGCTAATACCCCCCCCCCCCCACCCCCCACCCAAACAAGACAGGACATGAGCATTGCAGAGCTATGAGCTTAGTTGTTACGGCGGCGACTACTTCGCCGGCATCTCATCTCAATGAAACTTAAAAAAACTCATGCATAAGGGGGGATAGTAACGCCATTCTGCGTGTCCACTAATAACTCGGCTTTCCTGACTTTTAAAGAGAGGGGAGGAGAATTCAAACCTTTGTTGAATAGATGCGGTAAACACGATGATGCCGATTCTAGGCAAACACACTTCGTCAATCATTGCCTCCACTTCCAGCCATTGAAGTAAAGGAGGCCAGGTGGAAGAACATGTAACCTGAATCTGTATTCAACTTATGCAAAATCTAACAGGCTCCATCACAGAGAGAAGGACTGCTTTCATTACAAAAGAAAAGCACACAACATTCCGTCCGTCAAAACTGATGCTGATACCCTAATGAAGGCGCAATCCTTATAATCTGAGTCTCGAAGAGAACAATAAAGTGGTCTTACTTCTGAAGGCGGAGTATCAGACAGACAGCTTGCTAGGTCAACCACTTGATCATTCTGGGAATTTTCTAACATGACGCAAACTACACAGAGTCGACAAGTGGGCTGCTAGTATATTACCTTTATTGCAATTTTTGTCCCCTTCTGTGTGGCAACCAAGCCCCTAGAATGTGATCATAAGACAGATTCCCATCTAGACAGTGATGTGAGCCTGATCGACTTTCCTGTTTTTTTTTGTAAGACACAGATCATTCACAAAATCAAAAAAAAGATGTGACAAGGTGATAAAGGCATTTGCGAGTTTGTTTTCATAGTTCTAAATGATATATAAGTGACGCGTATGGTGATCAGAGAGGTGTCTTGTGGTGTATGATCTCACAAGACAATCAGAATAGCCCTAAAGATTAATCCACCCAATCATGTTCTAGCACTTTTTAATGAGCAACTTGGAGGAATAAAATGAATCAACCCTGTTAAATCAACAAGGAAAGAAAAGGGGACCCCACCTAATCCTATTCTTATCTAAAGTCCAGAAATTTCTCCGTCACAAAATAAACCTCTGGAAGGAGAATATGCTAGCAGGTATAATTGACTATCCAACCTAAATAGAAATGCCGCCAATTTACAATTAAGTAAGTTCTTTTCAATACATCCATAGCGTCGCGTTTAGCGTACAGACATGCAGATACAGAGGTCACAGTAGGGTACAGCATAGAGGAGCCTCCAGAGAGAACACCTCGAGGGTATACAAAGGAATGTAAATCATACTCAAGTCGTCGCTGCGCATCAAAGAGATTCGAACAAGTTATTAGACAAGAGGAAACTGGGAACAGCATATTCAACAGTAGAGTCAAAGCAAGATGGTACCCAAAGTGACTACTAAAAAGCACTTCCTTTCATGGGCTAGTTCTGCTCTCTAGCAACATTTTACCATCCATGAAAGGAGAGGAGAAATCAAATTACTGAGAACAAAATAGCACATATACTACAATTCTACAGACTAAAATTTCTTTCTATCAAACTATACACAACCGATTTGTGGATTAACAGCGTAGGAAAATAAACATAAAGCGGAACTTTCCAGTGCAGTACTGGAGGATATAAGTGTCCATGACTTTATAAGATGAAGTGGATTAAGTAAATGCGTAAATCGCATTCAGAGAACATCTGAATAAGTGCAATGAAGACAAATGTAGAGAGACTCACTTGAATACGAGGATATCACGATGGGACACAGGGTCGTGGACGTCAGAAGGCGTGGTGAAGAAGAGGATTTCATTGGCAACTTCGGGAGAAAGACGAAGACACCGATAGCCCAAAGCCTGATAGTCCATTGCCAACCTCAACTGATCCAAATTTATGGACTGTCCAATTCCATAGGCGGACACGCGGAAGGTATTGCTGTCGGGGATGGATTTCTCTGTGGACTAAAATGGCATAGTAGGAGTTTACAAGTCCGCTAAACAAAGAAGACAGCATGCGTAAAAACCACGAAGTTCTTCAATTGTTAGTTTGGCAATTTCTTCAAACTAACTTAAATACTTCACGGTTCTTATTGCCATCCCACACAAATCTTACGCATCCCTTCGCGCATTATTGATGTGGTTGCCAATTAAAATTTTATTTCAGCAGAGACATGTTCGTCATCTGCTCCTTTAAACATCATCTATGGCGGTCTTAGTAACAATACTTAAGCCGAACGGTCAATTGCTCTTACTAAAAGAACGGCATAAGTTACTTCTAATAAAAGTTGGTGCGTTGTAAGCATGCTACTTGTTTGAAACTTAATGCAATGAATACTTGAAGATCAACATCATTTAAAAGGTATTTTGACCGTAAATAAGGAGATGTAGACGACGAAAGTAATAAAAGTGCTTCGGGTGGCAAAGAGAAAGCTCACAGAAATCTGAGGAATTTAAAAAAAACCCTCTCAAGTCAGATTTAAACATCGCATGACTTTGATAAAGGTAAGGTGTTCTATAGGCACCGCTAAAAGGGGATCAATAGAACGCCAAATGCTGGCGCAAACAGGTGGGGGGGGGGGGGGGGGGGCCTGGATAAACGAAGGCATAAAATGAGACCAATAAAATCGTCATTTTAGAAAGAAACAGAACTGCTAATATGCTAAGGCTTAAGAACGCAAATTCCCGTCGTAGCACGTGATGTGAGTAGACTGCTCAAAGGCTTGAGTTACGGAATTCGAGTCACCCGTCAGGAAGGTTCACTTATGGCATTGTCTGCCCAAGATGGGTCGGGGGAGGTGGGGGTGGGGGGGGGGAGTTATTAAACCCCATACATGGATATCAATAATACCTTAATTTCAAAGGCTATGGTGAGCGGAGAGGCAAAAATTCAAGGGAAGATTTAGAACGAGAATTAGATGAAAGCAAAAGTATCCACCTAGGATAATTATCGATCAAACCGATGAAAAATAACGATTTAACCTTAAAAATTATTAAAAAACAACATACGGGCATAGAAAACAGTAACTCAAATGCTATTAATCCTACTATAAATAACAAATTCAAACACTCACAGGGGAAGGTAAAAAACGAGCTGATTTCGGTTTCATTGACTTTCCTGTGGTGAGGGGGATATCAAACTCCCGAACTGACTCCAGCTTGGACCTGAGAGATGGCAATCGAGACACCTTCGAGAATTGGCTTTCATGACTAAGGCATCGTGCCGATCCCACACGATGCCTTAATGATGTCAACCGCAAGATACCTTTTCTCCAACTAGTCAAGAAAGCCTTAATGGGAGAAATCAACTTTTAGAGATGAAAAAAATAAGAGAAAACAGTGCCGCTGCAAAGCAGAAAGAATAAAAGAAAATAAGAAATTGAAACTTGATTATATGCATTTAATAAAAAGTTAAGGAATGGAAACGTTACAGACGTAGATCAGAAGGAATAGAGACCGGGAGAATACAAGCGGGTAAGATTAAGGGAAATTAGGTTTCTGACTAGAAACCAGAGTCAGCGATGTGGGGATTTGTTTCAAGTTCGTCGAAGGAGAAGTACTTATGAGTAAGGTTAGTAGGAGTAACATGGACAACTCGGAGACCCGGTTTGTCGTCACCGAGTTGAAAACAAACGGCTGAAGTGGTGATATTTTCGAGGGAAGTCGAATTTGAACCCTCTGGTCGCCAAGAGCCCATCACATTATAATGAACATGGCCAGAAAAGACGTGCCGAATACCAGCCTTGTAGTATCTATTCATGAGATCCTCACGAGTACCTTTTGGAATGACAAAATAATCATCGTCCTCATCTGAAGACATCCTAAATAAGGGAATGTGCTAAGAGAGTATTAAAATGTGCACAATTTTAACATACCTGGAAGACTATAATCTTTTCAGCATTTTGATTTTCTTGACTACAAAGTTCCGCATTCAACCAGGTATCTTGGGCTTCAGAACCAGTTTTACAGTTCTCCGAGTTGAAATATAACTGTGAGTTAATAACAATGATTTTGACTTTTCCACACCAAAATGAATAGTAGTCATCACCCCAGTGAGATTTGTAGTCCTCGATATCAGCAGAGCAAGGGCTACTTCCAACATCGTGATTACCAGGGAGTGTAAAAATGGGGATATCGGGAACGATCTCCACAAATGCAGATTTCAAGTCGGCTATTTGTTCTCCTCGTTCAGGTCTTCCTGGCTCAGCGTCTACCAAGTCGCCACAAACAATGACGAATTTTGGCTTTCTTGATAGATTATTTATTGCGGTGATTGCACGATTCACAAGAGCAAGCTCACGGTCCCACTTATATGGTGGATCGCGCTTTTCACCGTAGCGCTCAATTAAAGCTAATTGAGGGTCAGCAAGTATGACAAAGGTAAAATCTTCACACTGGGCATCTAAGTGCTTGGTGTAACGACGATCTTTTACATAAACAATCGGAGAATCCATTTTTAAAAGAGATGGGTGTAAAATCACATGTGAAAAAAACGATGACGAAAGCGAGCCAATTAAAACTCTACCTTGAAGACGCCTGAAGTGGTTACCTTTGCTGGGGAAGGATAAAATGACAGTAATTCCATTAAAGTTTAAATAAAAAAATTTCACCTGAAATTCTTTGACGTTTTCCAAAATATTTTTATATTAAATGTAATTGCGTAACCTACCACTTTCCTTCTTTTGTTTTCTCCCTTTTTATTATGGAAACATTTGGTTATATTTCCATCTCATCATTTAACTTTAATAAAATTTTAGTATATGGAACCTTTTATGTTAAAATTTATATTTAATATGGTGCTATAATTTCCTTAGTGGTTATTAAAGTTTTAGACCCACTCGTTCACATTAACATTGTAAATATTTTGAAATGCGGGCTTTAATTTCGCCTTTTTGTTTACGCCGTAATAAAAGACACTGCTATTTTAAGTTAAGTTTCTCGGTTATTTAGAATCTTCGTGCAGTTTTCGTAGATGCATAGAAAATCTACCACCGTACCACCCCCCNCCCCCCCCCCCCCCCCCCTACTCTATTTTGATCGGAAGTTTAAGTCAAATATAAGCAATCCTTCATAAGGTATTAGCTATGGTCAACAAATTATGTCTCTGTATGTTAGTTTGCATCTGTTTGTGTTTCGACTTACACATTTGCATTTTCGACGTCTAGTAGTTACGGATAGGACAGTATTTACCTGTGTCATCAATTAAGCACAAACGAATTCGGTTGTTAAAAACATGTTAATTGCATATACGCGAGTGATGCATTCTCTCAAGTATTTCTCATACCATATAATATTTTATTAAATAGTCTTCTTGGCAGTCTGTTAATGACTTCTGATTATTAACTCACAATTATCATAATAGATTTCAAATACTTAAACTGCATCATACGAGACATACAAAGGCAATTAAAATTCTACTAAATGTGAATTCGTTTTAGAACCCAAATTGAACATTAATTAATACATTGTATCGCTTTCATTAGAATTTCTTTGATCTATTCCGATGATCTGTTCCCAGCAAAAAGGGCACATAAACAAGGTGGAAGTATATACTTATGCGCCGAAAGCCCATATCACTATTATTTCGGCATACAAAGTATCCTGACGAAACTGTTGTAAACTGTTTATATTATTTAGACATAACCGGATGATATTGTGATGACATTTGCTATTATATCTACAATTGGAATAAAATCTGATCACCTCATCTGACCTTATCTTTAAAGCATTTACGAGGATTGAATTCTCAAATATTTAAAATTCCTGCTTTTAAATCTATTGTATACTTTTGATTAATTGTAATAACGTCACATAATTATCACAAATACCTTCCAACAACGATTGAACTGTTTTCGTGTGAAGAACCCTAGATTCAATAGTCGATGGCTCTGCTTACGAAGAAAGAACATCATTAAATACTCTCGTAATTAATAGTGAAAGTAAAACTAAAATTTATTCCATTGCGGAAAATTGTATGCTTGAGCATTTGGCATTTCTGTCGTAAAAGTCAGGAAAAAGGAAATAAGCATCAAATAAACTTCATATATTAAGTAATTGCGGATTTTTTTGTAAATTTTTAAGTATTTGAAAAAATAATGTAGTGGCGTCATTGATATTTCTTTATGTTTAAAAAATATCATAGTACATTGAGGCTTGAAATCGAATTTTAGTTAGTTTAACGTCACACAATTTTAGGATATATTAAGCTATTTGCTGTTGGTTATGCTTTTTGTCCCCTGTTTTCCATCGAACGGGTCAAATGTTCAAGGTTGGGTATTGGCATTAGCACACCTTGGAGAGGGTTTCTCTTGTTATTTTTGTAGCTGAAAGGATATCCAAAAGTGATTAAAGAAGCAAGTGAATTATTAAACAGTGAATTTTTATTTTACTACTAATTTGCAATTGTCAGATTTTGTCTCTATTATATTTTTCGTCTTTTTAATTACATTTTTGTAATAACTATTTTAAGCATTGTATTAGACTAAACTATCCTTGGTGTTTGTTCTTTATAGATTTTCTGCCGAAATGCATATTGTTCTGATGGTGGCTGAAAAGCCATCGCTTGCCGAAGCATTGGCCAAGATCATGTCCCATGGAAAATTCTCTTCTCGTAAGGGGATCAACGGAGCTTGCAGTGTCCACGAATGGAACGGAACCTTCCTTGGTGAACCCGTTCACTTCAAAATGACCTCAGTTTGTGGTCATGTCATGACCCTTGACTTCAACAGCCGTTATAATAAATGGGACGCTGTTGATCCAGTAATTTAGTTCTAGTCTTTATTACTTTCCTTAGATTGAGTTATTTACTGCCAAGATTGAGAAGAAGGAGGCAAATCCGAAGCTCAATATGGTTAATTTCCTTCAGAAAGAGGCAAAAGGTGCTTCATCTCTTATTTTGTGGTTGGATTGTGACAAGGAAGGAGAGAATATTTGTTTTGAAGTTATTGACGCAGTGTCTCACATCATGAACCCGCAGGTTAGCAGTCACTTTGAAAAATATAATTGCAATTTTCGTTGTTTTTTTGTAGGCAAGGATCTACAGAGCTCATTTCACTGCTGTGACCGACCACGAAGTCCAATCTGCAATGCGAAATTTACGACAACCGAATAAAAATGAAGCTCTCTCAGTGGATGCCCGCCAGGAGACAGATCTTCGCATCGGATGCGCTTTTACTCGCTTCCAGACACGATTTTTTCAAGTAATTCATTGTCTTCTCTTTATGCTACCTGTAAATAAGGCCTTAAGCTCAATTTAAGAGGTTTCGATTTAAAATATGATTGAGAGAGAGAGAATTGTTTCTTTCTTAAAATTTTCTTGTTATATTAGCCTCAAGTAATCACTAGTGGACTTGGCCATATTTGTGGGCCCAGAAATACCTCGGCCATTTATTTTCTAAATCGGTCATGGTGGCAATTACAGCACGCTGAAAGGGAGATTAATGTTTCCCAGATACAACACGTGTTTGAAGTAACTTATAACGCTGACATAATACTGCCGGGGCCAACCCCTAGGCTCAAATTTTCTGCAAACTGTTAGAGTACGCAATTCAGAATTGAATTTCTGATTTAACTTATCTACTGCCCAATTCTGACCCGAATCTCTTCTATTGTGCTGGTCAGACTATATTTACAGCTTGATTTAAAGGCCATCTGTTATTTTTCGCACAAATTCATGGCAAAATTATTATTATTATTATTGTGACTAAAATTAAATAATACTAAGCACAACTTTTACCTTTCTCTAAATTGATCGATCTCGTACATGGTATTATTACTAAATTCTCGCTCCTTTTGAAGCCTTGCATAATTTAATTATGCGTCATGCTTTCTTGTATTTATTACTGTCTTTTTGCTTTTCAGGGCAAATACGGTGATTTGAACAGTCGACTGGTTTCCTTTGGTCCATGCCAAACGCCAACACTGGGTTTCTGCGTGAAACGCCACGATCGAATACAGTCATTCAAGCCGGAAACCTTCTGGCGTATCGCCGCTTCGGTTAGTATTACTACTTTACAACCTGCTCATTGACATTGTTTTGTGTAATTAGATTGTGGCTAATGAGAGTGGAGATCGATTGCCACTTACATGGAATCGTGACCGACTTTTTGACAAAGAAGCTGCAACTCTTTTTCTCAATGCTGTATCTGGCGCTGATAAAGCGGTGTGAGTTAAGCATTCCTATAATGGCTTGCTCATTGGCTGAATGTGTTTACCAATTCCCTTTTCTTGTGTGTTTACCTCTCTCTCTCCCTCACCAATCAGAGTAGTGGACGTGAGTCGAAAGGTGAAAGTGAAGCAACGTCCTCAGGGATTGAATACCGTAGAACTGCTACGAGTGGCGAGTGCGGCTTTGGGAATTGGACCTCACAGCACGATGGCGATCGCTGAGCGACTCTACACTTCGGGATTCATCAACTATCCGCGAACTGAGTCTACTGCCTACCCACCTTCAATGGATTTGAAAGCTCTCTTACGACAACATGTACGTTGATGGCATTTCTTAATTCCGTTGTTGCCTTTGGCTTGATCAAGGCGTGTCGTCTTCCTAAATTTGCAGCAGTTCGAATGGAATGCTTACCAGGAGACCATTAAAAATATCCCTGTCATTTCTACTGCTTAGTAATTTTATTGTAACACCTCTGGTGAGATTTGAACCTCTAATCTGAAGTTGTACCCATACATGAAGATACAGCGCCAACTTACTTGATTGTGACTTGTTGTCTTACCTTTCTCATGCCACACTCTAGGTCAATCATCCAAGGTGGGGTAACGTGGTGCGTGAGATGTTGGACTCCGGAGGTTACCACAATCCCCGCGCTGGCCACAATGCCGGCGATCACCCTCCGATCGCTCCAATGCGCTGCACCACTGAGCTCTCTGGTGATGCTGCTCGCATCTACGACTATGTCGCGCAGCACTTCATCGCCACTGTACGTTCCTTTATTCTCTTCTGGTCGTCTTCAGTGTTGAAGATACACTAGTCAATTGGTTACATTTACTATCCCTTTCATTAAGATAATAGTAATGATAGACAGAGTGTATACGTGTCGTGAACTCCCCTTATTGGTAATTTACAAGGTAATGTCACTCCTCCCTCCCCCCGCCCCCAGTACAATTCAAGTTTTTAGTTCTTTTGTAGAAGTGGGCAACTGACTCTTCCATTTCATAAATGGACCGAGTTGTGACCACTGATCCGATCTTTATTATTCATGAATTGGGAAAGAATGGTATACACACATTACGTTATGATAGCCATCAAAACGCCTGCCATTTGATGTAAATAAATGTATGACCCATCAGTGAAGACTTGGGGTCATTTATCTGCTGGGTAGTTGACATTGATTGTCTCAAGGGCCAGTGAGCGTGTTTGATCTGGAGGGGTATCTGCTTTCCTATATTGGGCCATTTCGCGTTTTTATCCCTCCAGTAATTAGTCGTAATGCTTGGTTGTGTGCCTTCTCGAGTGGTTTGAGAGCCACCTCTGTGGCTGTAATGAGTGGCTCACAGCAATACAACATTATTGGCTGAATAAACATCTTGTAAGTGGTATTGAGAGTTGAGCGTGCACAGCCCC